CTGATTTCGCCCAGGATCGAACTGGGGACGTTCTGCGTGTTAAGCAGATGCCATAACCAACTAGACCACGAAACCATTTCTGAAAACTAAGATTTTGGTAGTAACTATATTGCTTACTTTAAAAGTGATTAGTTTAATTAAATAAACCTTTCAACTACGAATTCTATGGCCATATCCTATAGACTTACATTGAAATCAATGCTCCATCGTTTTAATCTTCTTTACGAAACGTATTATGTTAAATATGTGCGTCACTTAATTTAGAAACAATAAGCTTTTTTCGGTGAGCGATAAGATTTGTACACAATCAGCTCCGAACGAAACTGTCTTGAAACAAGAAACTATTTTTTATATTTTTTATAATTTTACGATTTAAGTGGAGGCTTTAACAGATGAAGAGATAACATGAAAGGTAAAAGAGGGAGGTCAAAAACTCAAAAGATTTGTATGTCCTCGGACCAGTCTAATAGTCCCGTGTATGAACATCATTCTAGCCAACAGAACAGCGATATTGATAACGATAATTCGATTCCCAACTATTACTTGGAAGCAAACTTGGCTAATAATAGAACACCCAGGTTTGAGTGTACGGATATAGATAAAAATGATGTTCCCATTCAAACTCCAGGTAGTAATAGACGATTACATCGAATCAAATCATTAAATAAAGTCGATATTCGTTCACCTATTGTACCTCGAAATTCTGTATTAACTCCTGGAAGTTATAACTTTGGTCTAGATAGGACACATAGTGCAGACGTATACCGCAGTACTCATACGGAACTGTCGTCCTTAAACACGTCTAGAACTAATCCTACATTGGCGTCAAGACTATTAAGTAGCATTCCTGATAAGTTATATGCTATGCGCGACTATTATAATGATTTTACTACTATAGACTGGGCTAAGGCTTTTACGCTCACCAACAGATTCAATTATGAATTGCATCATAACAAGTGGATAGTAGATAATCCGTCAAATTCTGAAGAACAGGAATGTATCAACATTCCCTTTTATTACAAGACGTACTTGGTATTGGGCAAATGGATCCTTATAGTTCTTATCGGATTCTTGTTTTCGCTAATTGCATATCTGATTGATAAAATAGAGATATTGTTAGTGGGTTTAAAGCATGGATATTGTCGATCTAATTGGTTTGCAAGTCAAGTTTCTTGTTGTGTTAATTCAGAACCTCATATTCCTTCTCCACCGAACAATACAATAGCGATGAATATCTTCAAGTCTGGGTATGTCTTCAATACAAAAAATAATAAGAAAGAAGGGAGCATGCAATGTCCTGATTGGATTTCTTGGTCCACTCTATTTGAAAGTCATCCTTACGAAAAATTAAGGTTTGATTTTGTTATATATGTTGTGCTAACATTAGTCCTTGCATATTTAGCCTGTGTTATTACTCTATCTACCAAAATCACCAGTCGGTTATCGGTAGCATCAAGTAAAAGGAATAAAATGAATCTTGGTGAGGGTTTGGCTAATTTGCTGGAGCCAAATAGCTATATTCAAAGAAAAGAGAGTGATGATGAGTATTCGTACGATAAAGACGAAGACGCCAGTGGTTCTGCAAGAGTTATGTATACTGCTTGTGGATCAGGGGTACCTGAAGTTAAAACTATATTATCTGGATTTGTTATACGTAGATTTTTAGGTACCTATACTCTATTTGCGAAAACAATAGCATTAATTTTTGCAATAGCTTCGGGTATGGCATTAGGTAAAGAAGGCCCATATGTACATTTGGCTACAGCAGTCGGTAACATAATGTCCAGATTTTTTCCTTACATTAATAATAATGATTTCATGAAAAAACAAATTCTATCTGCAAGTGCTTCTTCGGGAGTAGCATTGGCATTTGGTTCACCGCTAGGAGGAGTCTTGTTTATATTGGAAGAGATAAATCATTATCTTCCTTCTCATCAACTATTCCAAATCTTTTTTTGCGCTATAATATCAACCTTATTTTTAAAATTTCTTAATCCATATGGAACTGGCAATACGGTTTTGTTTGAATTGAAATATGTTTCTGATTGGAATGCGGTTGAATTAATATTTTTCATTATTATTGGAATATCAGGAGGTATATTTGGAGGGCTTTTTGTGCGTTTTGTTGGATGGTGGCCAAAACAATTCCGTGAGTTGAAGATGATAAAGAACCATCCAATTGTCGAGGTCTTTTTCATTTCTCTCTTAACTGGTCTTATCACATTCTGGAATCCATATACTAAACAAGCTTCGTCTGAATTGGTTCTTGACTTGGCCACTTCTTGTAATTCACAAGGGTTAGATCAATCATTATGCCCTGTTACTCATGAACAATTTGTAAAAGAATTGGGTTCATTACTTTTCGCATTAGTTGTTAAAGTAATTCTTACTTGTCTTACATTTGGTTTAAAGCTTCCTTGTGGTATATATGTCCCCTCGATGGTTGTTGGTGCGTTGTACGGACGTACGTTTGCTATGTTTGTTCAATGGTCGAATTATAAGTACAATTTAAATTTGGGTGATCAAGAAGTAAATGCCTTTTCTACATCTGTAATGAGGTTCATATGTTCTCCTGATTCCTCAAATAATGAATGTGTGGACCTTGGTATATATTCAATGATAAGTGCAGGTGCCTTTATGGCAGGTATAACCCGAATGAATATCACGCTAGTTACAATATTGTTTGAATTGACAAGCTCGTATACCTATGTTTTACCTATTTCAATTTCGATTGCAGTTGCAAATTGGCTGGGTAGTTTGGTAGAAAAGAATTCGTTATATGAATCTTTATTGGTTCTGAACGATTATCCTTTTATGTCACCCGAAACAGAAGCTTTAGACCCATTCGTCACCGCAGGTGAAATTATTACTGAAATAGATTCTTATGATCAGGATATTGATGAAGAACATACCTATATTCGTCGCCGCTCAAGAGTAGTAAATGATACAGCTAGTAATAAGGTATACTCGACAAAGCGCCCACCATTCCATGCTAATAAGCTCACTAATTTTGATTCTTTAGAATCAAATGAATATTCTACTGCTCGTAATTGTGAGAAGTTATACATTGATATCAGTGCATCTCCGTATGTTGCAGCATCATTGCTTCAATCGAAATTAATTCTATTAGCAGATAAATTATTGCTTGATGGATGTATCCCATTAATAAAGAATGAGGTGTGTGTTGGGCTTATTTATTTTTCCGAATTAGAGTATTGCTTGGACAAATTAAAGGAATTTTGTTTAAAGTATGAAATAATGGACGATATCTTTTGTAAATTACTAGATGAAGTTCAATATCCGATAAGCGAGAATATAATAAACCCACTAAATCATAATTTGAGAATTGTGAGAAATATAAGCGACACTCCTTCGTTACAGCTGTCAGATGGTGATTATTTTAATTATGGAGCTACAGCGGATAACTTCGTAAATAACGATTCAAACTGGGAAAATCTACAAAGTGATTTATTCGATTTATCGAACTTAATTAGGCATGTTGATTATTCTCCTATTTTTTTGAATTATGATTCGGAGCTAAGCTTAGCGCATTTGATTTTCGATAAAATTGGTAATAGAGTAATTGTATTATTGAAAGAAGGTAGATACTATGGGTTATTACAGAAAAAAGTGCTTATTGACTATTGTAGAAGAGAGGAATCTAAATAAATGAAGTTCTGGTTTTAATTTTTGTATTCCTTATCTAGATTGTTTAGATTATGCATTTGCATTATTTATGAAGTTACGCTATTATATTTCTAATTTTAATACAGTAGTACATATTAATGAAAAGGTTTTGGAAGCAATTCATATTCATTTTTAGTGATCCATGATTTACACTTGAAGTGACAATATTGCACTCTAAAGGTGATAGTCTTTCCAAAAATATTGCAGTGGGTCTAAGGTATTCGTGTTGATCATTTTTTGAAGTCGTTGCACTATTCATAGTTAGGTATTTTCTATCATTGTGTTCATTAATCATATCATTATAGTTTAGGAATGCATCAAATAAAAATTCCATGATATTCTGCATATCAGAATATTTCGAATCAGTATCTTTGGAGTATATATTGTATATTATGCCTCTCTCAAAGGATAGTAAATTAATTATTAACGCAATAAGAAATTCATTGAACTCGTACTCATTCTGAAAAAAGGTTAACAAGCTTTCACTTATTAAGCGAGGAATAAGTTTCTGATCATCATATACTAAATATTCGTCTTGTACTGATTTAGCTTGGAATTTCTGAAGAGTTGATAAAAAATTATCTTGGCTTTCATTATTATAATATTTCAATTTGGAAATTTGCATAGCTTTAATCAGTAAGATTTTATTTGTCTTATGCTGGGCCATTTTCTTCCCTGTAATCCTATCTTTGAAGCAAAATAAATCTTTTACAAGATTGCAGCACTTTGTTTTTAGAATTTTATTAAACATCTTCAAGAACATGATCTTGCATTCAGAATATTTCGGTTGTGAAAAGCATTCATTAAGCTTTTCACTGAATATCTTATTATGAAATAATTCAGTTATAAAATCTTTGAAAATTGAATTTGATATAAAGGGCAACAATGTATCGATTGTTTTTATCAAAAAGCTGTAAATAACGTACGAGTTACGATCTTCATTATGTTGCAAAATTTTTGAAAAAAATTGCATCTCAAAATCCAGGAGGCATTGTTCTCGAAATTCTAAAGATAGTGAAACTAAGACCTTGCTGAATGCCATTAAAAATCTTTGATACTCTAATATATTTAATTCATTTTTTCCTATGCATCCCTCATTAAATATATATGTAAATCGGTTGATGAAGCACTTGGAGATGTCTGAAAATTGATGCAACCATTGGAATAAAAATGGGTATTCCTTATTGTTCAATATAATAATCAATTCTATAAAATAGGTCTCTATAATCTGATCTTTACAATCTTCGGTAAACAATAAGCTGTAAAGTAGATCGTAGAGTGGGAAGCACTTCCTGCTATTTAAAGTTTCTGACGATACTGAATTTTGGCCTGTCAATGCTTCGATATTAATCACGTCTCGGTACAGATATTGCAACCATATCTCTAGCAATTGTGGGAATTTGCTGTATGCTTTCAATACTTTTGGTATGAAGCTAACAATAAAGTTGAGATGAAATATGTTCATCTCATCGTAGTTTGTGTATTCTATGAGATATATTCCTAAACATTTTGATACTTTATCAGCAGTTTTGGGATTCCGCAATGCTTTAACCAACGGTAACATCGCATTCGTTTCATGTTCAGTCAATAAATTATTCACTAGTCTTTTGAATAATAGGATTTGTTGATCAAATAACCCCCTTGGAATTTTTAAGATTCCGATTCTTGCTAACAAATAGTAGAGATCGTGTTCTAGTAACAAAAGTATATTTTGCTGGCTCTTGGTTATCTCCGAAATGTTCAAATCAATTTGCCTGTTAATCTTGACCAAACAATGCTGTACCTCTAGAGCTAAATCTGAGGAGTTATTCTGATTGTTAGTAACATTACCCTTATTTATTAGTCTCTGTTTAAACTTACCAGATTAATATAGCTAGTCAAACTGCTCTTAGCTCGAATACAATGATATGTCAAACTTGAATTTTTATATTGTGCTTCTATCGAGGAATTTTCAACAACTCTAGGTTCTAAAACTGTTTTCAATTGGCATTTGCTACTATATATCATATTACACGAACCTACTAAGTTTGAATAAGCCTATTTAGTTCTGCTTCAAGTAGTTTGTGCAAATCTCCCAATTAGAGCCATTGCAACCATTTTGTGGTAACACTCAGTTGGCCTGCATACAAATTTCTGCAAAACAAGTGTGAAACAGCCTAGTTGTTTTACAACCAAAAATTATTGGTATATAACAGGGTACAATTCCCCAGGATAAATTGAATTCTAGATACTGGAAGTTAGCAAGAAAGAGTAATGTCGAAAAGAAATTCGACAATTAAGTTAAGTGAGAAGAACCGAGACACGAATACACATGTCCCACCTCATGAGAAATTAGTTTATAATCGATTTGCTGGCGGGTCTAGGAATATTTATCCCGACCAAGCAAATAGCTATATGAAACATCTGGAAAATAATTCAAGATCGGTCGGTAGCAATAATAATAGTATTGGTCATGGTTTCAATAACAACTTTGGATCTGGCCCAAGACGTGCGCCATCTACGAACCTGAAAAGCATGGGTACCATTAGGGAGAATGACTACTCAAATCATTATATTCATAGCAGACACCCACCTATCAAGCATGTTAGAAACATACAAAACCCAATGGAAGGGTATCCTAAGTTGCAAAAACTACACCAATTGAAAAAGAATCAGATCCAACAGCATGCTGTCATGCCCTATGGGTGTAAAATCTCATCAGACTTAATAGTCCCAACGTTGAAGTCATGGATAAATGACTACGAATTACAATTTGATGTTATAATGATTGGGGCATTAGTTGAAAATCAATTTATTCAACCGTTACTTTATCAATTGCCTCTTTACAAATTGTGCGCTAAACCAGGGTTTTTATTTATTTGGGCAACAACGCAGAAAATTCAAGAATTAACAAAATTTCTCAATTCTGACGTATGCAATAAAAAATTCAGAAGATCAGAAGAATTGGTGTTTGTCTTGATTGATAAAAGCTCTCCATATTATCCAAATGATTCTAGAGATTGCAAACCATTATTCACTAAACATCAATGGCATTGTTGGATGTGTATTACCGGAACAGTGCGCAGGTCAACAGATAACCATTTGATTCACTGTAACGTCGACACAGACTTACAAATAGAGAATAACGAATCGAACTGCGGTATTAATGCTGTGCCTGATTCCATCTATAAAGTAGCTGAAAATTTCTCTAATTCGAATAGAAGATTACATATTATTCCATCGAGAATTGGCTACAATTTACCAATCAAATTGAGACCAGGTTGGGTAATAATGAGTCCTGATGTGTTAATTAACAACTTCGACCCATCAACCTACGAGCGTGACTTGTATACCAAATCTATGATTAGATATAAAACAGTCAACAACTCCCAGAAGCCTCAATTCTTGATATCTCAGACAAACGAAATCGAAGAACTAAGACCTAAGTCCCCAATTAATATTAAGTCTTAATATTATGGTCCTAGTTTAGTCTAATCCTAAGATTCCGATCTACAAGGCTGCTGTGTAAAACACAATTCCTAGGTGTTTCTGATAGTAACTACGCCTTCTTTTTCTTTGGATAATACTGTATTAACTATTTACTTATATAAGTTAGTATACTAATTTGAATAAAAATACTACTCCCATTAATTATGTATTGAATCAGATAAATTGATGAATGTTGGAAAAAAAGGTTATCAGCATCGTCATTGACTCTGAGTGAGCTGAGTTAAGTTATCATCATAACATACTAAATTAATGGTTTAACTAGTAATCTATAACATACATTAATACTATAATTAAGTATATATGGTAATACATAAAATGTAAAGTAATATTGAAAAATTTATTCTCGCTTTAAACGAAAGGACAGATGACTATCCGGGTAACTATGGATTTTGTGTAGCGCTTTTTCTTCGCTCCGAGTAGGGTTGAAGCTACAAGTCTTGCAAACTCTGCATTAAATCCAAGTTGGCGGTTCGAACCATGTAAGGAATATTTGAATCGCCAACTGGATAATGGCTTACTCTAGTATATACTTATTGTCTACCTGTTATAAACATATTCTAAATACCTACACGTAACCATATTCGGAGTGGCCGGAGTATAACATACCGAGATGCTGTCATAAATTAATATAGGAGGTTAAACTAACTGTAACTACTAGCACGAGAATTGAATCTGATTATAGTAATGAAAGATATGAAAACTTCTACTTCGCTTGTTAACTATGGCTTTGGACAATTTATGTATTAATTACTTGGCCGGGTGCAAATCGGAGAACCCCCGATGTAACCTCCACTAAATCGACCATCCCTTATCTTTGTCAATACACACCTTTAGAATCATTCCCCCACCAATCATAATGCTCGCTAACCACTTGTTAGCTTTGTGTATAGCGTGGAGCGATTATTCAGCATATTTCATTTGATCGGAAATGCACGGAAAAATAGCCGCTGCTAGGAGACTATCGGAATGAACCAATTTCGTCTGGGGTACAGTAAATAAGCAGAATTCTTCAACTCAATTTTCTGTTTAAGTGCCTTTCAAGAACCAAAGTAGTTCCCTAGTGAAAGTCCGTAGGCCTTGTACTTCAACTGTATTGTCTCCTTGTCTAAACCTATCCAAAAACGACAAATAAGAGAGCGGATAATTGGTATTTCTCAACATCTAGGTACAGGAGTATTTACCCGCCCCGCTCTCTTTTTTTGCTAGCATTTCATACCTCCGGGTTAGTAATATAAATACGACATGGTTTCCACAGTATAGTATGGAGTAATAATAATTTAACGAACTTATATTAGTTATAAGGTAATATATTATATAAAAATCTAAGATGGGATTCAATAAGATTAAGGTTGACCAACCAATTGTTGAGATGGATGGTGATGAAATGACCAGGATCATCTGGAAATTTATCAAGGATAAGTTGATCTTTCCATACTTGGACGTTGACTTGAAATATTATGATTTAGGTATTGAATACAGAGATCAAACCGACGACAAGGTCACCACTGATGCTGCTGAAGCAATTTTGAAGTACCAAGTTGGAGTTAAATGTGCAACCATTACCCCAGACGAAGCTAGAGTCGAGGAATTCAAATTAAAGAAGATGTGGTTGTCACCAAACGGTACCTTGAGAAACATTTTGGGTGGTACTGTCTTCAGAGAACCAATTGTTATTGATAACATCCCAAGAATTGTTCCACAATGGGAAAACCCAATTATCATTGGTAGACACGCGTTCGGTGACCAATATAAGGCCACCGATGTTGTTATTCCAAAGGCCGGTCAATTAGAATTAGTTTTCAAGCCGGCTGATGGATCACCAGCTGAAGTGTACCCTGTATACAACTACGATGCCCCAGGTGTCGCTTTATCTATGTACAACACCGACAAGTCCATTACTGATTTCGCCGAATCATCTTTCAAAATGGCCTTGGACAGAAAATTAATATTGTTCTCCTCTACCAAGAATACTATCTTGAAGAAATACGATGGTAGATTCAAAGACATTTTTGAAGACTTATACGAGAAGAAATATAAGAAGCAATTCGAAGAAGCCGGTATCTGGTATGAACATAGATTAATTGACGATATGGTTGCCCAAATGTTGAAATCCAAGGGTGGTTACATTATTGCCATGAAGAACTACGATGGTGATGTGCAATCCGATATTGTTGCACAAGGTTTCGGTTCATTAGGTTTAATGACCTCTGTTTTGATGACCCCAGATGGAAAGACTTTCGAAGCCGAAGCAGCTCATGGTACCGTTACCAGACATTATAGACAACATCAACAAGGTAAGGAAACCTCCACAAACTCTATCGCTTCTATCTTTGCATGGACCAGAGGTATAATCCAAAGAGGTAAGTTAGATAAAAATGACGATGTTGTTAAATTCGGTGAAAACTTAGAAAAGGCCACCATCGATACCGTCGCCTTAGACAACATCATGACTAAGGACTTGGCTTTAGCTCAAGGTAAGACCGAAAGATCATCTTATGTTACTACCGAAGAATTCATTGATGCTGTTGCAGCAAGGTTAAATAAGAACTTAGGAGCTTAGTTGTTTTATTTATTTCTACTATTATATAAGGTACGAACCAATACATGTTCCTCTATATATTATCTATCAATGTAATGTATTATTCTATAATAGTATTTGTAGGCTAGTATGAGGTTCAGTGCTGAAGATTTAGTCGTGTCTGATTGTAAATAAAATTCATTACCTCAAGGTGAAAAAAGATATAAGCTACATAAACGATAGAATTTGTTATATAAGCAACTAAGCATATTTATTAATAATGAATGTAGGATCAATCTTAAATGATGAACCTCCACCATCTAAAAAGACTGAAAGTGACGATTCTGGCGATTCAGTTAGACCAGATATGTCGACTTATCAGAGACATTCGCTCGTTAATTTGCTAAATGACCCAGCCCCAAATAATGAACTTAAAAAGAAGGAAATGAAAGAAGGTAAACCTGAAGATGAACATTCAAGTTTCAAAGTGCCGGGAGCTGAAACGAATAAACCGTCATCTGGCGTTTTGAGACGGAGTTCAATCGCGGATATAACGAATGAGAAAGATGTTGACATTTCAAGCACTACCGGAGACCCAATAAAACAAGATATACTGGAAAAGGACGAAGATGAATTGACTAGAATAAGTAAACTTAAATCTTCAAACAAGCCAAGACGATACATGGAACCTCCAATATGGGCGCAAGAATGGATACCCATATCATACCAAGGTACGGCGAATGGAACACCTCTTGTCAATACCCAAGAATCAAGCTTGTCGTCTAAGCCAGTATTCGATAGAACTCTGACAGTAAGTGTTGACTTAGAATGTTCCATAACCGGCGTGATTCCTCCTCCATCAGTTACTAGAACTATAGCAGAATGGATTTATGCAAATTTTACGGAAATTCCTGATGAGCAAAGAAAATATGTAGAATTGGAATTGAAGTTTGGGACTATTATTGATAAAAGAGCAGGCCACAGAATAGATATCAATGTATCTACTGAATGTATCTTCACAGATAATTCCAACACCTATTTTGATATGGGTGTTCATGAGGTAGGTTGGAATGATATGTGCAAATTCTTGGACGATTTGGAAAAATCTTACCAAGATGACTTACGCAGATCATCTCAAGCAAACAGCAACGCTCCAAAGAGAAAATTTAATGTGTTAGAGAGTGATATAACTGATAATTTTTATCAGATTACAAGTAGGAATGAACAGCCAAAATCAATTCGTGTATCAAAGGACAACTTGTTGGATCCTCCTCGTTACACCGCTATAAATAAACAAAGGCTTTCAAGTTTATTTATTCACAACCCTTCTTCGATGTATGATTTAAGATTGTCATTGTCATATGAAAATCCTATTCCTGACAATAACATCGATGGTATAATCAAGAAAAACCAACCTACTTTGACGAGGATTAAAAAGCGTAATTCTTGGACCCACAGACCCACTGTAACAAGGTTTGATATGACAAGAGTATTGCTGCCACGAGAGCTGAAAAATAAGAGCGGAAAAAAAATTGTGGAACAAGATCAGTCGTTCGAAGTTGAGTTAGAGGTTGATACGTTAGAATTATTTAATGGGTTTGATAAATTTAAAAGTGGGGCAGATTCGATTAGATTTGAAGAGTTAGTGGAGATATTTGTAAATAATGCGAGATGTTTGAATAACAGAGTTACGAAGTTAGCTAACAAGTAAACTTCACCGACCATATTGCCCTTTTAACATTCCATTAGCATTTCGTTTGTATCATATGTAATAAATAGAAAAATTGTAATAATATCTACAATCACGTGATCTATTGTTGATAGTTGAGTTTTTGATACGTCTTCAACATTGAAAAATGTGAAGCTTTTACTATAGTCCAACTGTACAATAAGCTTAAAGATGCTAGTGTATATACTATTGTTTGCGGCGGCATTAGCCATATGCATCTACTCGATAATAGTTTTGTTTTCGCATAAGCCAAGGGAACCTACACCGAGTGAATTGACTTATACGACTAACGACTCAGCAGGTGAACATTACAAACTACCAAGTAGGATCAATTCAAGCACATCTGAATACAAGGATGATGGAATCCAATTGAGTGTAGTTATACCTTGCTTCAATGAAACACAGAGATTAGGTAAAATGCTTAGCGAGTGTATTGAACACTTAGACGCTAATTACCCATCTCAATACGAAATAATTATAGTGGATGATGGGTCGCTGGATAAAAGTGACGAATTTGCTCTTAGGAAAGCAAACGAGTTCCGTTTGAAACCACATGTTATGAGAGTAGTTAAATTATCAAAAAACCGAGGTAAAGGAGGGGCAGTGACACACGGTTTATTGCATTCGAGAGGCAAATACAGCCTATTCGCTGACGCTGACGGGGCTACGAAGTTCAGTGATGCCGACAAGCTAGTTGCGTATTTAAGCTCAGTGGACAACAACAAGCCAGCAATTGCAATAGGGTCTCGTGCCCATATGGTAGATACCGACGCGGTTGTCAAAAGATCGTTTATCCGTAA